ATCAAATCCTTGGAGGCATAAAGTTTATTGTGTCTTTTAGGAACAGAAAAACATACAGTTTGCCAGAGTAGAGGCAGCATCAAGGGCAAAGGTGGGAGATAACAACAAGTTTTTCTTCAGTTATCCACCAGATTTTTCCCTTGACTTTTAAATGAAGTGCAGTGTCAATTTACTTGAGACTCATTTGGTGTTCTCTGTCAACTGTCCCCATGCTCAGGGTATCTCTTCCTGCTTCTATTTCTCACCCCACTCATATAGGTAATCTTATCCACTCTCATTCCTTCTATTATACATGGCCAAGATCGCTATCTGGAACTCCAGATCTTTATTTCTAGCTGTCCCCTAGATGCCTCCACCTGGACTCACCACTATCTCAGGTTGACAGATCCAGCACTAACCTCAGTTTTCTCCTGCTTACACCTATACCTTCTACTTCATTCCATCTCTGTCCACCAGATTGCTTAACGCAGAAGGTGGGCATTGTCTTTGACCCCTCCCTTTCCTTTCATCCTCATGAACCATCCCTCAGGTTTGCCTCCTGAATATCTGCTGAATCTGTCCTTTTCTCTCCGTCCCCCTGCCACAGCCCTAGTTCTGGTCGTCATCACTGGCCTGTGTTACTGAGGGAGCCTCCCTGGTTTCACTAGGTTCACATTACCTCTGACCAATGCGCCTTCACGATGCAAGCAGAACGATCCCTCTAACGCGTAAATCTGGTCACGTAGGTTCTCTTCTTAAAACCCTTTAATGGCTCCTTATGGCCCTTAGGATAAGATCCAGAAACGTATGAAAAAATGCTCAACGTCTCTCATCATCAGGGAAATGCAAATCAAAACCACAATGAGATATCACTTAACTCCAATGAGAATGGCTTTTATTAAAAGGTCCTAAAACAACAAATGTTGGCGCGGATGTGGAGAGATAGGAACACTCATACACTGCTGGTGGGACTGCAAACTAGTGCAACCTCCGTGGAAAGCAATATGGAGATACCTTAAAGAGATAAAAGACCAGTAGAGCTACCATTTGATCCAGCAATCCCACCACTGGGCATCTACCCGAAGGAAAAAAAGACATTCTATAAAAAACACACCCGCACTCAAATGTTTATAGCAGTGCAATTCACAATCGCAAAGATGTGGAAACAACCCAAGTGCCCATCAACACATGAGTGGATTAATAAAATGTGGTAAATGTATACCATGGAGTACTACTTAGCCACAAAAAACAATGGTGATCTAGCACTTCTTATATTACCCTAGATGGAACTGGTGCCCATTCTAAGTGTAGTATCACAAGAATGGAAAAACAAGCACCATATGTACTCACTATCAAATTGGTACTAATTGATCAACACTTATGTGCACATATGGAAGTAACATTCATTGGGGATCGGGCAGGTGGGAGGGGGGAGGATGGGATGGGTAAATTCACACACGGTCTGGGAGGGGCACGCTTGTAGCTCTGACTTGGGTGGTGCAAATGCAATAGATGTAATTCAAATGTTTTTACCCTGTACAAATTTTGAAAAAAACAAGACAAAAAAACCAAATTCCTTGAAGAGCTTAAAAGGCCCTGGGTGACCTGGGCTTTACATGACTCCTTGCACTTCCTCCCTCCTCTCTTGCTGCTTCCTCAGCTGTCCTGAACTACTTTCTCACTTTCCAAAATTCATCATGTTCTAGCATCTGCAGGCTTTAACATGCTGTTTCCTTTGCCTAGCCTCTACTCTCTATCTTTGGCTACTTTTAATGTCTTCCCTAGATCTTAGCTTCAGTGTCACATCCTATAAAAAGCCTTCTCTAATTCCATCAAAACTAAGTTAGATGCCCCCATTATGTGCCCCTTTTATGGGGTACATAAAAGTCAAATTGCATCATGATTGCTGAATTGTCTTCCTTCCCTTCCAAACTGTAAACTTCATGAGGACAGGGAATGTTGGGCGTACTTAGCAGCATATCCCAGATACCTAGTACAGTGCTCAGCATATTATTTATCGAGAAACACATCTTTTACTGTACCACCAATATTTACCAGGTGCTGTTTTCTTTGCTACTTGATCCTAAGCTGCTTCAGGGCGGGACCAAATCCTTTTCATTGTGCCATTTGTGTTAAATGAGTTTGTTTCAACAACTACTTTTGGGAGCGTTATCCTGTCTGAACTTTTTAAAAACATTATATGAATGTAAATTGTAAAAGTTATATTAGATAAGACTAGGAAGCAATGTGATTAATAAATGTGCTATAAAGTATACAACCAAATGAGTATTTGCCCATTCAGTACTGTCTGAAGTTAAGAAGAAAAAGCATTAAAGCATTTGTTTAGGGTCAGGTTGGCATGGGTCTGAATTCCAGCTCTACCACTTAGTAACACTGTGCTCTTGGGCAAGTCACTTTCCTTTCTGAGCCTCAGCTTCCTCATTTGTAACGTGAGAATGTTTTGTATTACAGAGTGCTTGCCTTGCAAGGTTGTCACAAAGATTAAAGGTTTATGAAAATGACTGCCACAGTACCTGGCACATGGTAGTCACTCTATGAATTTTAGGTTATATTCTCTTCTATTCCAACAATGCTGCCATTACTGAAACATTTTTGGAATTTCTTTGTCAAAATAGTTTTCAGGTCTTGCTATAAATCATCAGAATATCTCAATGGGAGAAATCTTTTTTTTTTTTTTTTGAGAACGTGTTTGATTTTTTAGGAACAGCCTGGTTCAGAGACTTAAGATGGTTAATACCATTTTTGATATTAAATAAAGTTAAATACAATAATGAGATTTTCTTTCATATTCTGGCTTTCTCACAGGTGTCGTTGACAGCATATTTGGCACATTAAATTCAGGGAATTAACTATCACAAGATCTTTTGATTTTGAATAGCACTCTGATAAATCAAACAGAATTAATAAGCTCAAGAAAGCTGAAATCTTTAATAATATACTTAATCATAAGTTAACCATCAAAATTTTACTTCTAGCAACAAAGAATTTAGAAAAAAAATGGTCCAAGGTGCTTCCCCATATTCTTGTACATATTTGGGGCTGTTCTCTTTTCAGCTAGGTCCGTGGACGTCAGTGTGGCTGAAAAGGTGGTAAGAGTGATGTTCTCTCCTAATGACCCAGAGGAGCCTGTTGCCTTCAGAGGTCTGTCCATTGTTGTGGGGGAGGAGCCTGGGAGGAAAATTGGAGGAAATGGACAGGGATGTAGAGACAGGTTTGCAGCTTTTATAGAGGGCTTGTGCAGAAAAATCCACAGGGTGACTTTGCAGGAGAAGAGATTGGAAGCACAAGGGATTCAGACTACTGGCAGCAGTCCCCAGCCTTTTTGGCACCAGGGACCAGTTTTGTGGAAAATTATTTTTCCGGAGCAGGGGGAGGCGGAGTTCAGGCGGTGATACAAGCGATGGGAAGCAGCTGTAAATACAGATGAAGCTTTGATTGCTCACCTGCTCCTCACCTGCTGTGTGGCTGGTTCCTAACAGGCCATGGATTGGTGCCAGCCTGGGGGTTGGGAACCACAGTACTAGCGGAAAGTACTAAAGGCAGTGCCTGGAGGAGCGCAGTTAGGAGAGGCTGGAAACTGTATTCCCTTTGTTCAATAACAAAGATTCTCAGGAGACAGATCCCTTGTCAAGTCTAGCCCACAAGGTGGCCTTTATAGCCAGGCCCAGTCCCCATTTGCTTGAGTGACTCAGCTCCCCTACTGCCCAGGTGGAAAAATCAACAAAAAAATCCCTCAAATTTTATGTAGATTTTTGTTCAACCTTAAATATCAAAATTAGATGTGAATTACTGCGAAATGCAAAATTCAAGATCTTCAATGTTATAAAAAATGTCTAGAAAGAGAATATAAGTAAAATAACCCTTTTTTCAATTTTTTTCCTGTAAATTGATTATCATTCATCTATTCTGGGTATTAATTTTCTTAACTGTCATTAACCAGGTTGAAGTTAGTATCTTAGCAATGCCAGAAATGTGCATTAGCACGAACTCTTAGATGAAGATTCTGGAGTCTTTTAGGCAACTGGAGCCATTTAAAATGCATTTATGGTATAAACACATTTTAGAGATCTTTATGTTAAATAGATGATCATATTCTGATAGAATGCTTTTGTTTTTGGAAGCCAAAATTTTGCCTCATGACAAAATTCTTCATTTATGATATAATTGAGTGTCTGACAATGATATAAAAAGTAAGCAATTTGGATAAAACAGAAGCAACTAAACATGAAATTTACTTCTGGAAAATGATCTGAGTATTTCCAATGAATAAGAAAAATGCAGGATATGTGTATTAGTTTCTTATTGTTGACGTAACAAATTACCACAAACTTAGTGGTTCAAACACACCACAAATCTGTGATGTTAGATGTTATGTTCTGTGGATTAGGAGTCCAGCGTAGGTCTCACTGGGCTAAGACAAAATGTTGATAAGGACTGCATTCCTCCTAGGCCCCAGGGGAGCGTCCATTGTCTTGCCTTTCCAGCTTCTAGAGGCTACCACATTCCTTGACTCAGGGTCTTCTTCCATCTTCAAAGCCAACAAGGTTGCATTTTTCTGACCATTCTTCCATAGTCACATCTGCCTCTTGTCATAACTGGGAAAGTTTCCCTGCTTTAAGGACCCTTGTGGTTAGAAGGGGCCCACCAGATAATCCAGGAGAATCTCCCCATCTCAAGGCCTTAAATTTAATCACATCTATAAAAGCCTTTTTGCCATGTAAAATAACATATCCTCAAGTTTTGGGGATTAGGATGTGGACATTTTGGGGGAAAGGGGTATTACTCTGCCTACTATAATATGGAAATACTTAACACAAAATTTCATTTAGAGAACATATTTTTCAAATGTGCCTATGATTTGTTATCAGATCTTTAAGCAACTTTCACTTGGGTGTTTATAGGGGAGAGGTGCATATATTAAAAAATAAAACCTCAAATTTTATATGAATCTTAATCTGCCATTAAAGCTAATGTTTATTCTCTTTTGTTTACTTTGGTAGTGATAACCTGCTAAGGAGAGCAGCCTGTCAAGAAGCTCAGGTAATACCATTTAATATGATAAAATTAAAACCTACCTTATCTCCATTGCGCAGGAAACTCAAGCTATTCCAGGAGGCTTGCATGGTGTCTTGCATCAATGCAGTTTGGCTGTTTTTCCCCCACTATCAAGGGATGAATCAGGCTTGGGGCCAACTCTGAGTAGAACTCGAGGAAGTTAACCATCTGGTGAAGAGCAATTCTAACACCCACTACTTGAGACTTGTTTGCTTCTGGATCAGTCCCAAGAACACATGACTGGCTGAAGCTCTGGGAATTTGTTTGTATCTGCAGTTGTCCTCGAAAATCTGGCTAAATCCTGAACATCCCTGATCCGAATAACCCCCAAGCATATCAGTTCAGAACAGGTGTTACCTCTAGAAGTCGAGTCTTCTTAAAATTGTTGATTCATATTTTTAAAGCTCATCTCAAAGTACAACTGATCATATCATGTGTACTATTTTCCCAGTTCCATGAGATTACTTAAATTACTTAAAGATTCATTTATCTGGTTGTGTTAATTACAGCTGAATTGTAAATCCTTTCAAATTTAAGACCACATTTTTGCTCCCTCCCCCCCCAATTTGTACATTATACCTTGCAGATGAAATTTCGTGACTGAGTTGCCTTTTTGTTATATGTCATTTGAGCATATGATGCCAGAAATACCAAAAAAGTAACATTAAAGTCAAAAATGGCAAAGGTATGAAGCATTTTAGTAAGAGAAGTGGGTGGCAAACC